CTGACTTTCAGTGAAACAAAGTCAGAATTCCCACTGTACTGTATACACTGTATCTGCAAGAATACTTTTCTATTTTCAGCCATATCTACGGTCTGCGATTCGGCAATTTCCAGCAAACTTGGCAAACGCAAAGCTGACTACACTGAGCGGCTTCACAAAAGGTCTAAGACGAGCCTTGGGACTCAGTCACTTAAGTCAAGCTGTGCTCACAGTGATCAAGGATGCGGACCGTATGAGACAAATGGTTCATGACATCACGAAACTGGATCTAGTTAGTATTGAAGTGAGTTGCTCTGTAGGAAAGGCACTTTTTGAATCGGTTAGCTGCGAGGCTTGAGTAAACGCGTTTAGATAGAGTGATACTAAGTTAGTTGGTTCCTACACGCTAAAAATACTCCAACGGAGTAAATTCCATTAGCAACAAGCTCCTAAGTAAAGAACATTCCGAAGTGGGAACCCACGGGTTAGTCAGTGAAAGTTTTGTTTTCAGATGTCTGTCGTTCAAACAAGAACACTCAAGAAGAGCTCCGAAAATTAGAACTCATCCACGTAATTATTTGTTCTGAATCGTAAACAGATAAAGGAAAAAATTCATTTTGATTAGGGCCTGCCGCACCGTACGGTGTGAGAAAACGACTGCGTAAGCAATAATCGCTCTCTTGTCTAGGCCTGGCCAAAGTGGTGTTGTGTCCTGTTGAACGGCAGTGCAACTCTGTACCGGTCCCTTAGCTTCCTGCTCCGCCCACTATGGTGTATCAAAAGGCACGGTGGCTCTAGACAGCCCTTTATGGAGACAAATGAAAATTCTTACAACTGTATTTATAGGGTAGTCACTTCCACAAGACCTACCAGAGTCTCCGTGAGGGGACGAGAAGCGTCGGGCCAAAGATGCTCGACTCGGATTGGCTGGCATTCTGGCCAATCAGGGCATGCCTTCGTTTGGCCCTTGTCCTGCACGTGACACATCCGTCCAAGTGATATGATGTTCGGTTATTAGTGACGGCTGGCCTCGATATACGTGGCAGAATCTCAACCGTCGCAATTCCTTCGGTTGTCATGGCAGCTGGGCAGTGGACTACCATTAATTATAATTTTTCGTAAATTCTAAGACAAAGACTGGTGGCAGTCACACCTGGGCTTGTTATGATACCTGAGAATTAGTCATTCTGAGATCATTCACGTTCGGATGCTCACAAGGCGGAACCAAAACACGACTTGCGTTTAGATTCGTTTGAGATGACACGTACCAATCTAATCCAATGCGAGCTTCCAGTGCCATCAGAGAAGACACGTGGAAAAGATTACAGAACCAGCGGAACTGTGACAAACACTGACAAACTAGAGAGCGGAGTTTGTTTTCTACACCTTAACGTCTCCTCAATCTCATGGATGGCCTGATGATTTTGTGAGCACTCGTCAGTTTTTCAGGTCTGTGGAAGAAGCATACCTAAATTCAACTATTGCTAAAAACGATATGCTAATGAAAATGGAGATAATTTTACCACCTGTGTTTCCCGTTTGTCCAGGTATTCTCCACATAAACTTTGGGATTTCGGGGGCTCCTGCCACCCCGAATTTTTGCCCCGGAATAGCAGTGAACCTTTTTTCAAGGCAAAGGCATCAGTAAGAAACTTCTATAGTAATTCATTCGGTGGTGTCGGTGATGTTTCAGGCTAGTAGAGTTTACCAACTGTAAACTATGTGCCGGTGGGTCGTTGGTCTCTGTTGCCATGGTGACTAAAGGTCATGGGAATAATCGACAGCAGGGGAGATATGCTCAAGCACGTAAAATTGGACAACCAGGCATTGAAGACGATAACTTTGATCCACGGACGCCACTGGCTGCGTGATTCAGTTAAATCTTCCACGGAACCCAAACTGGCGTGTAGACGAATGCAGCTGGCGAATTTCGTACATTTGGATGCCAGCTGGAATTCCTGGACTGTGCATACCTGATGGGTGTGAAGTGGAAGGGCGACACCAGTCGCCAAGAAAATGTACTGCGATATCTCGTATATCGTACCAACTGTGTAGCACATTCAGTTGAAGGATAGCATAAACGGGAAATTCAGCTCAGACTCCGCTGAGTCGTCCGTTAAAACGAACTTGGTGCGTAAATCAGTGCATTCTGCTGTGAGCTGGTCCAGGGGACCTTCGAACAACCGAACTGATCGATTCCTGCGGAGTGAACAACGCAGAATTACAGCTCGTACGATTCATCTTTGACAGCATAGTACCAGATTTCGAAATCGCATTGCAACCGCTTCAGCCTTTGAATCGATAAATGCAGCCCATTAGCTACTCGGTGGATGATTGATCGAGTTACCACTGTCACTTGTCCGTTACGAAACGGGACTTTTGACCGAGCCATCGAGTTTGGTGAGGCTGTGGAAAGTGAGATGCCAACGTACTGTCTTAGAAGTTGCCATGTCGTGGATCCGACATATGCTGCTGAAAGACAGCAGGAAGAATGAAGTCAAAGCAGTCACATTATGACCTCTAAATCTGCCTTACTTATGTGGCAGGAATCGATCCAGTTAAACAGTTCTCGTTAGGAATCAATGTGATGAACTATTCGAATGGTTATCCTCCAGTGAACTAAGTGTAAGCCCGATGTTTTTGTCATACACAAGTGGAATGCAGCCAGTTTTGTGAATGAACAAAGTCCACCCATAAAGGAAACTACTCACAAGGTT